GTACACGTAATTATTACGAATTTACCATGTGTCTTGTAAATTCTGTATCATACGGCCTGTCTGATGATATGATAGTATGCAAACGTATATATATATAGTTTGTATATATGCAAGGTGACGTCGAAATCATTCTTATAACAGCCATTTACTGTCCACTGCTGAACATAGGCCTTCTCCTTGGGAGGTTTTGACAGTAGTTACCACGTTTACCAGAGGGAGACTGTACAAAAGTCGATTGCTTGGGTATCTCTGTCTCATTCGTGTTTCTACAGTGAATCAGTTGTGTTTGCATGGCTGTGTTTCGGTTTGAAGGGTCAGATATTGCGTGAATTTACAGGGTACAGAGAAATAACACCTGAGTCCTCAGGAATGGCAACGCATGGGGGGTATCATGGGCGAAACAGTATACTCTGTTATGTCCATGGTACTGCTCATGTGTAGAGGCGACGGTTACCGCTTTCCATCAGGTAGGCCGTCAGCTTGTTTGCCATTCTAAGTTGTATAAAAAAAAAAACATTTGGCAGGCGTGTTGGCAATCGTAGTTAGGCTTTTTACCATACCATAGGGTTACCATTTAATTAACACCCTTAATGGGTGATAATTAAATGGTAACCCCGCCTACGCTATCGGTATAATGCTGGCGGGGCACCAGTGAGGGATGATAGGCGACGATGAAAGCAGGTCAATTAGCCCATCGTGACAAAATTCACTAGATTTAACTATGATGGTTTCTAGGAGCAACCGCGAGGAGGTTGACCTGAATACACCCTGTATTGCTAACAACGAGGCAGTTAGAATCCCCATTACTAACAAGATTTTGGTTATGTTATAAGAGAGACGCTATGCTACTCATCCCTCGACGATTATGTTCCCTTAGTCATATCTTACTACACTGACAAAGGAAGCGGTGGCCCATTCTATGGCGGCAATGCCATATATACCGGGGGGGAAAGGGATTGTTATCAATAGAGTTTGACAACCCCATTGTTAGCATTATGCCTTATTAGGTCGACCTCCACGTGGTTCCCCCTGGAAACCATCGTGAACAATTCTTGTTAAATTCGTCACGATGGGCCAACTGATCTGCTTCATCTTCACCTATCATCCTTCACTGGTGCCCCGGCGGTGTATACCGATAGCGCGGATGGGGTTACCATTCCATTATCATCCATTAAAAAAAAATGCCATATATACCAAGTGAAAATGAAATGGTCTTTTAAAAAAGTTTTATTTAAATAACTGATTATTTTAAGACGACGCGCTTATCTATCAAGTTACTCTTAGTATTTTTTTTTAATGGGTGATAATGGAATGGTAACCCCGCCTGCGCTATCGGTATACTTTGGCGGGGCACCAGTGAAGGATGATAGGTGACAATGAAAGCAGGTCAGTTAGCCCATCGTGACGAATTCCACTAGAATTAACCACGATTGTTTTCAGGGGGAACCGCGTGGAGGTCGACCTGACAGGGTGTATTGCTAGCAGTAGGTCAGTTAGGCCCCATTACCAACAATCCCTTTCCCCCTACTCTTAGTATTAGATAATTTATAGTGTTTTGATATTTTTCGATCTTTTTCATTTGAGAATAAGGTTCATTTTCGTAATGATTTGAATTTCATCATTATAAATTATTCGCGTGCAACGTGTACAAAAAGTTGTGTCAATAGTTACTAGTTTATCAACCGTCAATAGAGCTACCCTTGGATTAAAATAGACTAGCCTATACCAGGGAGCACACGCACGAAACGCCAGGTGCAACAACTATAGCGGCATGCATCTGTCGTCCTCGATAATAATAAAGACTGATCGCTACAAATATAAATTATTTCAACTTAAAGTCATTATTGCGACACGATTTTTCAAATATGTCCTTTTACACAAACCTTGTTCTGACAATTACAGAAACAGCAAAAAAAAAAAAAGAAAAAAAGTAGCTAAAAAGGTGCAGATGAATGTATATTTGACAATTGACTTTATATATCATAGATAGCTTTACAAGTGGGGGGGGGGGATTGTTAGTAATTAAATTAAAAATGTCTATAGACATGAGCAGTACCATGGACATAACAGAGTATACTGTTTCGCCCATGATACCCCCATGCGTTGCCATTCCTGAGGACTCAGGTGTTATTCCTCTGTACCCTGTAAATTCACTGCCATATCCCATCCTTCAAACCGAAACACAGCCATGTAAACACAACTGCTTCACGGTAGAAACACGAATGGGACAGAGGTACCCAAGCAATCGACTTTTGTACAAAGTCTCCATGAATTTTGAATAAACACTGAAAATAATAATTTTATTTATTTATTTAACAACTAAAATTACACTAGTTACCATTATTGAAATCGCTAATCTGCTTAGCAATTTATTGCTGAATATATTTCTCATTTATTTTTAAAAGAATCCATGTACCCTCTTATTCATAAAAACAAAAATATTCTACGAAAGGTTTGTAGAATATTTTTGTTTTTTTTTTAAATTACACTGTTTTGTCACTTTTCAAATAAGGAATTTAGCATCAAAGCTTACTTTAGTTTTGGAGGTTTGACGTTTTTTTTTAATAAGGAACTTTTTTAATATTTACAAATTTTCTATCCTAATATATTTTATAGCATGGGTAAATTCTCACGCCTTTATTCATAAAAAACATCAACGTCTCATAAATCTATTTAAAATAGATTTATGACACTTGAACTGTTTTGTCTCTTTCTTTTATTACATTCCCAATTTAAAAGAGAGTGATAACAGTTTAATGGCTAAAATAGTATTGTAGTAAGTATTAGTTTTCTAGTATATTTGTGTTCTTATTTTTATATCATAAAGGGGTTTAATGCACGGTTAACGACTTTTATTTCACTTGTATGTCTAAACTGTTTGTTAACTCTAAAAATTATTACCCGAATTTAAATAAAAATCTTCCACCTACAGAAAGCTATATTATTAGCATGTAACATGGGCTGTGTTTAAAAAAAAAAAAAAAAAAACTTCGAAACAGTGATGCAGTTTAGAAGTACAATTATAGTTTGATCATATCTCCCTGTCTCCCACATCGAACGGTGTCCCTATACAGTATGCTAATGGGGTCACTCAGCGGAATGCTCGTTATATGAAGTCAATTGGTCTCTTGGCCTGTGACCCACAAGTTATTAAGCTTCTGATGCCACCGCATTCCATATTCATACTATCTACCGCATAATGGACGCATTGTGCCTATATCTGAACTTGTATTGACACGAATTGAAAACTAATGGGTTTTCAAATATCAATGGTGCATTTGTGTTCTCAGAGACAAGAATGTCCTTTTTAGTTGCTTGTTATTAAAATTTGTTTGTTTTGTGTGTTTATCGATGCTCGATGCCAGGAGTTAGTGAAATTTTAAGAGGGACAGCATTCAAATCGGAATTCTTGAATTTGATATAAATAATTATAATTCAACATGATTTTTTTTTAATTTTATTTATTCATAAACAAAATTTTGTATTTGAATGTCATAGTAGATACAATAATTTCATACAGTACATAAAATATAAATTAAATTAAGCATAAAACAAATATTACAGTCATCTCTTAACATAATCTATATATATATATATATATATATATATCAAATTTATATATATATATATATATATATATATATATATATATATATATATATATATATATATATATATATATATATATATATATATATATATATATATATATATATATATATATATATATATATATATATAATTTACTATAATTAGAATTCGTCAATTGAGTACAGGCACCTTTCTAATAGTAATGACATCAATTTTGTCCTAAAGATATTTAAATGATTCAATAACTATAACTTTTCCCGAACAAAAGATATTTTGCATGTTCGATAAGCGATCGTTGGATACATCCTGTATGTAGTTATATTTATTATATTTTATTTATTTTCGTTGCCTTATCCTAAAGCGATATGACAAATCACAAACAAGGAAACTTCTATTCCTAGACGAAATAATTAGATATCATGTGTTATTTAAAACTCATATTACGCATTACGTTACACTAAATCCTTTTAAGATGTAAGCATATCTTATATGGTATGGCATAAGTAAATATTATTCATATGTCATACAAATTAGTACCTGTCAATTGTTTAAACATAACGTTCTTTTGGTAAGTTTATATACTTACAAAAATGTCTTTATAAAATCTATCTATACTTATTATAAACCTGTAGAGAGGTCAATTCTGTACATTAAATATATTTCCAAAATAACTATGACGGGGTGATTAGTGATCGATATTGATGCAAAATACTATAAGTTAAATTTTTGTCTGTTTGTCTGTATGTTTGTTATAGAAACAAAAACTACTCAACGGATTTTAACGAAACTTGGTACAATTATTCTTCATACCCCTGGCCAGATTATAGTATACTTTTCCTCACGCTACGATCAATAGGAGCAGAGCAGTGAAGGGAAATGTGTCTGTTACATCAAAACCACTGAACTGTGAGGAAGGACATAGGCTACTTATTTTACGAAAAACGACGGAAACGCGGACGAAGTCGCAGGCGACAGCTAGTATTAAATATAACACTTACATCACTTCCACGAAGGATGATTTGAGTAAAGAGCTTTTTTATATAATCTAAAATGGTAATTACCATCTATTGAAAAAGAAAATTATAGACATCGTGGTATATAGCTGCTCACTGCAGACTTTTGTACTGGTGATTAAAGTAAATACTAGATTTTTTTAACATAACAGAGTATACTGTTTCGCCCCTGATACCCCCCATGCGTTACCATTCCTGAGGAGTCAGGTGTTATTTCTCTGTACTCTGTCAATTCACTGCCATATCCCACCTTTCAAACCGAAACACAGTCATGCAAATAACTGCTTCACGGTAGAAACACGAATAGGATAGAGGTGGCCAAGCAAACGACTTATACACGACGTACAAAGTCCCTCTGGTATAATGGACTAATTGTCTAATTTTTTTTCATTACAGACGCACAAATTCTACGCGCTACGGTACTGGGGCTGTGAGTTGCTATGTCTGATCAATATCAGCTTGCAGTTGTGGATGATGGACAGCTTCTTTGATGGCGAGTTTCTGTCTTACGGCACCAGGGTCCTGGGATACAGTGAAGTGCCTCAAGAAGAAAGGTAAAATATAAAACTATTTAAGATATAGTCGCAATGTTTGTTTGTTTTTAACACTTTAATTTAATAATAAGCAGAAAGGTATAATGCGTAAATAATTTACAAAGTGAGTTGAGTACGTACTCATCTACACTAATATTATAAAGAGGAAAGATTTGTATTTTTGTGTGTATGTTTGTAATGAATAAACTCAAAAACTACTTTGCCGATTTCAAAAATTCTTTTACCATTAGAAAGCTATATTCACCGTGAGTAACATACGCTATATTTATTGCTAGAAAAGATAAGGGATCCTTATTAAAACTTTAGTAACGTAACTCAAGGTGTAAAAAAAATGCTAAAAAATATCTTTTGTCGCGTGCGCATAGAACAAAAGTATGTTGTACAATATTGAAGAAAATATCAATAACTACAAAAAACTTCGCAATACTATATGTCCAACTATTATCGTTATGTCACAATAATCAATATTTAAAATGTTGTAAAAATGTCCACCCGTGCGAAGCCGGGACGGGTCGCTAGTTCATTAATAAGCAGAAAGGTATTATGCGTAAATACTTTACAAAATGAGTTGAGTATAAAATATCATGGTAATAACAGTTGTATTCTGAACCGATACGGCATCGTAACCCTCGAGAAAAGAGCATATTCCTTTGTAAAAAACTGGCAGCACACCTGCAATGCCTTTGGTGTTGCGGGTGATCATGGGCGGCGGTAGTCGCTTACCATCAAGTGAGCCGCATTCTCGTTTGCTCCCTGTGTTATAAATAAAAACCTAAGAGATTTTTTTTATGTTTAACTTTCGAAAATTTTATAGAAATATATGAATGTTCTTAGTGATATGATATATTTGAAATTTTTGTGTTATAATTAAATCGTCGTGTCTTTTAAGATGAGATTAAGATGTGGCGCAATAAAATACTCGAAAAATTGAGAAATAACTTTATATTAATAAGAAATTTAATAAAATTTACAGAACGAGCTATATCTTTAACAATATAACAAACAATAGTATAATATAACAAACTATAGTTTTTATAAGATTTTGACAACGGATAGAAAAATAAAAAATGTAGAATGCCTATTACAAGTTTTAAAAAACAACGTTCGATGTTGCCTTTTGTCTTTTGTCAGGCACACGTTGATGTACTGCGTAACTATTTTTATACCAGCCCCCTTACGAGGTAGGCAGGGTGCTATATTTCCAATTATATGAATCTTTCACTGCTTTTGTAACTCGCTTTATATCTCAATACATTTTAGATACATGATACATATTCATTGGTAGTATAGGATCTATTTTACCAGCGGGAGACTGTACAGAAGTCATTTGCTTGGATATCTCTGTCCCATTCGTGTTTCTACCGTGATGTAGTTATGCTTGCAAGGCTGTATTTCGGTTTGAAGGGTGAGATATGGCAGTCAATTTACAGGGTACAGAGGCATAACACCTTAGAATCAGAAATGGCAACGCATGGGTAGTATCATGGACGAAACAGTATACTCTGTCATGTCCATGGTACTGTTGATGTCTATAGGTGACGGTTACCACTTTTCATTAGGTGAGTCGTCAGCTTGTTTGCCATTCTAAGTTGCATAAAAAAAAAAAAAAAACTATCTGATAAGGGCATGTAGGGTTCAGCCGTGAAATGAATCCGAGCTCTCCCTAAAACAAAAGTGTTGTGCCTTATTTTTTCAATTATGTTTAAGATCATAATAGATATCGTAACATTCAACCATGTAACGTACGATTAAGGTTCATTTTCCAATGTTCCAGATACGACCCCATGATTTACGTGTTCCCACGCGTTACAAAATGTACATTCCACAAGTTCGGTGCGTCCGGCAGCATACAGACCCACGACAGCCTCTGTATATTGCCGCTGAACATCGTCAACGAGAAGACATATGTCTTCCTCTGGTTCTGGTACATCATACTGCTAGTGGTGCTGTCCTTGCTGATTGTATACAGGTAAGTTGATATGATCTTTACTTCTTTTAAAAGTATATAATAATAATAATAAACTCTTTATTGCGCACAGTAGAGGTGTATACAAGGAGTATTTATACAGAATGTGCATATACAAAAGGCGGCCTTATCGCTAAAAGCAATCTCTTACAAACAACCTGGCATAAATAATGGATAAGTACAGAGAGAAAGGTAGATGGCGCAAGTCAGACACAGTAAATACATAAAAGGAATCAAACAAAATGCAAAGTATATATTAGAAGCATCCAACTACTGGAGCCTTTAATATAGTAAAATAATATATAAATACAGTTTATATGATGATATATCGAAAGAAGCAAAATATTTTAGCTGAATGATATAATTCTTATTGCCAATAACTATTATCGTAAAGCAGTTGTGTTTGCATGGCTGTGTTTCGGTTTGAAGGGTGGGATATGGCGTGAATTTACAGGGTATAGAGGAATAACACCTGAGTCCTCAGGAATGCCAACGCATGGGGGGGTATCATGGGCGAAACAGTATACTCTGTTGTGTTCATGGTACTGCTCCTGTTTATAGGCGACGGTTACCACTTTCCATCAGGTGGACCGTCAGCTTGTTTGCCATTCTAAGTTATATAAAAAAAATAAGTATACAAAACGGTGTTATTTATTGTATAGAAAGTACCTTTCTGTATAAAGGGCATTCTAGTTATCTCACTGAATAATGGAATTTATAATGTGTTTACAGCAGGTGATAAGGGGTTGTTTTGTCATATTGTTGTTAATTGTCTTGTTTGTTATCTTAATTTATGATGATAAATAAATATAACTGTCTACATAATTACTAACTATAATGATAAATTTTAAATATTCATTGGACACTTGATAATATTTTATATGAGACCTGGTGAGATAGAAGGAATTTTTCTACATGATCATGTTCAAATCTTTATTTAAAAAACTGTATTTTTATACCATTGAGGTGGCTAACAAGCATACGACTCATCTGATGGTGAGCGGTTACCGTAACCTATAAACGCCTGCAATACTAGGGGTATTACGCACGCGTTGCCAATCCTAATGAAACCTCTTTACCCCCCTTTTGAAGAATCCCATGCTGTATGTAGTCTTTTGGGAAAACCTCGGTGGGGAACTCATTCTATAACCTGAGTGTTTGTGGGAGAAAAAATTCTGAATTCGCGTTGTACGCGACTATTTAGACTATAGGGTATGAGCGTGCACTCCCTATCGATGGCGAGCCATCCGATGGTAGAAAGTAGCCGTGGGCATCATATTGAAGAATTCCTCTAAGCACAGTATGTGCTGTATAATATACTTAATAATATTCTTCTTTCACAATCGATGTTTATGGATTAATTTCAATTGAGGTTCACAAACAAATTTATAGATTAACGCAAAATTATGAAATTGATCAATATTTAACATGTTGCTCCTATATTCCCCCAGACTGGTGATAATCTTCATGCCGTCGATACGTCCGCGGCTACTGCATGCGCGCTCACGCACCATCGCCATGGACACAGCAGTGGTGGTGTCACGTCGCACCGATCTCGGTGACTGGTGGCTGCTTTACATGCTCGCCAGGAATATGGATCCGCTCATATTTAGGTAACACAATATACAATTTAATTATTCAAATATATGACTTATTTTTCTATGCTGGTGGTGGTAGATGTGTACCGCACCTACCTTGGCGATTGATGACTGCTCTACATGTTCGCTAGTAACATGAAACCACACTGTTTTTGAATTGAGCAACGGTACGAAAATGTGCCGTGACCAAGACACAAATTTTTGACTGTTATTTTGCCATGAACATGGTGATATCGCGATGCTTGTTTGCTGGATTGGAATCTGCTCTATGTGTAGAGAGCGAGTATTTGCTAGAAACTTGCTTATATTTAGGTTAAAAACGATATAAAATGGCGACGTGATTAAGATACCAATTTGTGACTTAAATTGTCTCTGGATGCTGATTGAGAGAATGGGTCACATCAACTTTTTTTTAAGGAAATTGGAATCGAAAACAAACTGACGGCCCACCTGATGGAAAGTGGTAACCGTCGCCTATAGACTTCTATGACAGGTAACTACTTTAGGAGCTTATTAGAAATATGGACAACAAATGTTGAGCCTGCCATATTAACACGATGTATCTAGATGTAATAATATGAAGATTTTTAAATTAATCATTTATTGGTGCATGTTTCTTGGAAAATACTTAGTTTTACTGGTAAAAAACATTAAAAATATGCTTATGATTTTGTTTACTTTTACGTTACAGTGAGCTTATGTCTGAGTTGGCCAAATGCATGGGTGAGAAGCCAAGCCCTCGCGCGTGACGTCCGGCCCCGCCGCCCCCGCCGACGCCGCCTCACCCCACCGTCGCCATTGTCGGCGCCTGACGTCAACCGCACCGCACACGAGTCTCCACAGCGACTCTTTCACACCAGAAGACACTCATATGTAGATATTTGATGTAAGTAACGTTGAATGATGTTGGTAAACAGGGTGTTATGGAAAGGGTACAACGATAAGGGCCTTGATTAGAAAATTAGCCACGTTTTTGCGACGTTGCTCACGTGCGATGCGATTAAAAAACAGTCCATGTTTTAATCCAAAATATGGTTCATTTGTCCTTTCTACTATCTAAAATTTCCTATACTTATGGATCGTATGCTTGATTAATACGTTACAGACAGCTAATAAAATATATATATATATATAATATATATATATATATATATATATATATATATATATAAACGTGTAAGATACGTGAGTGATAATGCATTAGATTTCCATTCAAATCTATTATTTAAATGTGATTTAGTAATACAAAAATTCAAACATCATAGGTTTCTTGGGTAAAATTATTTAGTGTGACGAATGCTATTGCTATATGTTTCCCTTTCCGTCACAGTCTGTATAATAATCGTAGTTTATATACACGACATGTATGTAGATATTAATTCCTAATTTCCCAACTATACATGTTGTATGGGAACAAATTACAGTAAATTTAAGTTTATAATACGAACAAGTCGGCGTAGTTATATATAGTCCGTGACATTACTACGAGATATATTTGCTATTTCCAATAGTAATGATTATAAATATATATAATGATAAACAACCAGGTTGCATTTAGAAATCTGGAATAGATTTACATTATTTCTTTGATGATTTTAAAAATCGAATCTTTCTTTTTAAAACAGGTCTGTTATTGTGAATTAAAATTTATGATCTGTGATCATTTTATAATCTTTTTATAATTGGAATCACAGATTAAATATTTTCTATAGTTCTCAATCTAAAACTGGTCGACAAACAATACGATATACTTGACAAAGCCAAGCTAGGTTTTCACTGATTGACATCTTACTAACAATTTCCTTGGGCTTACGTGAAGAAAGAAAGTTTCGATTGATTGTTCCTGTTAGAAGTCGTATTGTTTAAAGGCAATCTAAGAGTTAAATTTTTTGTCAAGAGTCTCTAAAAATGTATTTTTTATTTTTTCTCATTTAGCAGATTTTATTAAGCCTTGTTTCATATATTATGACAAATGAAAAAAAATCTCTAATAATTTTAGTTTAGCTGTATTATACCAACTAATGATCTTAACAAATCATTTTTTTCATGTAATTTTTTATAAGTAACGCTAACGTAGACTTTCACACTGCCATTTGTATGAATTATCTATATCATAGAATCTTATGAATTTCATCTCGAAATATAATCTCGTAAATACAGTAAAGCAATGGTTGTATTTTTACGTATATTACTTGTATATAATTGTTATACATTTTTATATATATATACATAATTTGTGAAAATCAAATGTAGTTCACTTAAGGCACTCTTTAAAATACGTCACGCGAACTCGACTCGTGTTTCATTTGTTTTTCGAAATTTTAAGTCTTCTTGCTCTGTTTATAGTTGGTATGGAGTCATTTTCTTTCTCTATTTTTCAATCAAAAAATTGTATTCAGTTTTATTTCATTTTTCTAGTAATATCTGAAAAATACTTTTTTCGTTTATTTCAGTAATTACAATTCATTATTATTTATGAAAAATACTTCTTATTACTTCGTTCTGGCTTCATCGTAACATATCAATCTAGACAATTTGTTCATTCTAATATTGTGTACGTATTTTATGGAGGGTTTTATAGACATCGTAAATATGTCTTACTATATGTGTTTAAGTGCCAAGATGTTTATACAGTTATTTGTATACATCTACATATATATACTAGGTCTTGATATTAATATAAAAATCTCCAAAAGACATGTACAATTATAATTATATTGTCTCCGTCTATTGTATAAGTATACATTTTTTAGTAGCACAAAATTTTTTCTACCATTTTGGTAGAAATCTCAATGACTGGTAACATTTATGTGTAAAATGAACTGACTCGAAGAGAAGGACGGTCATATCGCCTTTGTTGATCAAATTTTGATATTAAATAAAGAACTCGAAATTATGGATGTTACACGACATATTAAAAAAAAATTACTTTTAAAAAATTTGGTACGAACTGGCTATCAAAAATTAGAAAACTGATTTGTGTAACAGAAAAGAGATTATAGCAATGTAATGAGAAAATATCTGGATACTATACTGTTTAAGACATTAATCAGGTAAATTGACTCGTAAACGTATAAAATTATTATAACTGGAATGTGTTTATATAATTTTTAAGGGTATTTTCCTTGGCATTTTTTAATGCATTATCACGCTGTGGACTAATATGACAGGTGAGACATTATTGATAATGTTTCTCAATCGATGCCTTGGTTTCACAATTATAACTAAATTACTTTCAGTGTATCTAAATTACTGAAAGTTTTATTGCAAAAAATGACATTTTTGTAACGCAAAATGCCTGATTATGACTGGAAATAACAAATCATAAATATGTGATATATTGCGTATGAAGTAGATATAAGAAATTGTTAGTGATGGTGTGTATTTAGAGCATATAATCCCGGAATCCTGAATGACAAAGGTAATTTTGAATAATATAAAAGTTTTTGTTAGAAGGTTGAAATATGAATAAGATTAAAATCTTGTATTACCATTGATTAACCATGATATAATTTTATTTTTTGTGTCTGTGGTCATTCAACATTATTTTTAATTATTTATTTTAATTTATACGGTACATTTATATATAATTATTATAACTACATATGTAACGGCCCGTTGCCTTTGTCATTCGGGATCCCGGAATTGTATTCTTTATGTGTATTGTTCTCTATATTTAGAGATCAGTCGATGTGTTCTTGGTGTTTGATCGATTTAATATCCGAGATGATTGGGAAATTTTGTGGTTGTAGCAATAAATCGAATATTAGAATAGTAGTTTTACATTAACACATGGCAACACTATATTGTGAAAAAAATAATACCTACTTTCAACTAAGAAGTTTATAAACAAATTGAGATCACAACGTGAAAATAAAATCGAATAAGTAACTTTGACTTCAAAGACGTCCTTTAAGTGTAAGCGAGAGGGAAGACTACAGAAAAAGTGACTTTCTTGTCTATTGTATCGTTAACTGTGATCTTAATTTGTTTTTTAAACGTCTTGGCTCTCAACATTTGTATTATTGTTGCCAGTAATGAAAAAATACGACGTATTTCTCAACTGATCGTGTTCATTTTTACTAGATTGCACTCTTTTTCGAGCGTCTGTACGATTGTGTCAAATCGAGTGTTAATTTCTTGTTTTAGAGAAGTTATATTGCATTATATTCGCAACTAGTGTTGTGATTTATGAATTATATAAAATTAGACAGTGTTACAAGCTATTTGAAATGTTTTTAAATTCTACTATTTTGGTAGAATGTTCAAATGTTCTCTCTGTCAGGATAGAAATGTGTAACTTTTTGCTGATAATATTTATATTTTTTATTTTACGTACACGTATTATAATATATGTGAGGAGATAATGTATGTGTAACTTTATTATATAAAAAAATGTTTTTGTATTATAAAGGGGAGTGATAGGAATCGCTAAGTGATAAATGGTAATAACATATGCTCTAAAACAAACTTATTTCTAACACGATTTTTTTATTATTTCTTAATGAAATGAAATGAAATGAAATTCTCTATTTAATATTGTAATAACTTACAAAAGTGTAAATTGTTTGATCATCTTGTTTACAATAAAAAAAGACATTTTATGTAAGGGGCTATGGATTTTGATATGCAAGTTTGTTATACTCATTACAAATATTGGCCATTTTGTTCGAATTTGTGGATGACTAGAGTAGCGTATTGAAATGAAGGAGTTTGTATTTTATATTTTAATTCTATTGTACATTTTATAAAACATTAACGTCGATTCTGGGGCGTGATTTTTCTAAACCTATCTTTAAAGTCTAATTTTCGATTTGATATGACAACGTAATTTTTTTTTTTTCTAAAGACCTATATGAATTAAATTTCCAATACATTTATGTGAAAATTAAAATAAATTTATTTCACAATGGTTCATAAAATAGTAATTTTGCAACACTATCACTACATAAATTTAAATATTAGATTAATCAGATTTAAAGAAATTGTGCCTCAGAAGCGACTTCATTATCATTCACTATAAACACATTAGTTTTAAAGATTTTAAAAAATGAGGGTAATTCGAAATTGTATTGTGTTTAGCGATATCCTCGTCAACATAGAACCAAATTTAATGACTATTGTATGAAATTGAAGTCGGTTTTTCATCAAAACTAATACATATATATCATTTATTAGAAGACTTTCTTTATGACAGTAGGGTTTTATTAAAGTTTTGCTCAATTATTTCATCAAATCATTATTGATCTAGCCGTGATGTTTGTAATGTTGTTATGTACATTTATTAAATGTTGGTGAACTAAAATTAGTTAAATTACATTAAACATTATATTTGGTATCATATAGAATTCATCCCTATAAGGGTCAGTGCACACTGGTGGACAGATACCAATTCGTTATCATTTGAAAATTTATTAATAATATTTCTTAGCGCGATAAGAATATAGGACATAGATAGAAATATGGACAGGTCATTTACTATCGTTACTTTGCCTAGTGCCCGATAATAACTCATCGTTGCTACTCCGCCAGTGTACGCTGACCCTTTTATTTGCCATTAAATGCCCGTTCACACTGAAGTATTACATTTGCAACATCGTTACCACAATAGATTTTAAGAAATTAACTGTACAACTAACTATCAATGGACACTGTTAACGCATGAAACACAAATGTTCCTAATACATTAATTTTAGTTCACAATATTCCCAGTTTTGACACAAAAGACAAAGCGGGGTGGTCAGTTTTTTTAAAGATTTTTCTTCAATAAAAATATGAACTCTAAGTCTTAGGTGTAAAGTGTATTTTTGATTGCACGACGGAGGCGTTTTTCCTTAAGTGTATTAATTAGTAAAAAAAGTCTTAGTTTATTTGGGAAATAAAAACTTTATAAAATAATAGTTAAAAAAAAAAAGATAGGAAAAAAGACAATAATAAATTAATAATAATTTATTATTAAACAAAAATTAAAATACGCGGTGAAATTGTTTACTTTTATTTATTATTTTAATAAGAAAAAAAAAATATGTTCGGAAATCATATATACACACACACACACACACACACACACACACACAAAGTACCTAAATACAAGACGAGCATTCAAAAAAATATGTTTTTCAATTATGTTAATTTTCTTTAAAAACTGATCACCCTATAAAGATTTATTTTACTATTAGATATTAATGTCATAGATCACACGCGTCTAGATAGCGAGCCCCTCAACAAAAGCTTCGACAAAACAGATGCAATTTTTTTTAATCTTGATTGAGTGAATTTCTATCATAGACCACACGTAGTTTTAATTCCCTTATTCATAAAAATATCAAATGTTTAATAAAATAAATAATAATCTGTATATTAACTATTGAAATGACTTCTTTGTATTTTATAATACACAAAGTGAAAAAATATGCTTGTAAGAGGTTTTAGTTTTTACGTTTAAAGTAGTTACACGATTTTTCATTGTGTGGGAGAATAGAGAAGATAAATATAAGAAATGTTATCTAATAAACGACGCTTTTGTGTTTCGTTTTTAAAAATTGCTCGTCCAAACAAACCAAACAAGTCGGCTGATCGTTTTATTGAAGCGTTTTTCACATTCGATGCTACATCTAGATGCATGTGATCTATTTAATGTATAGTTAATTGAATGATGTCGCATTTATTTTAATTTGTTAAGTGAATCTTAGATTATAATTGGAAGAAGACAGAGAAAGAGAGAGAGAGAAGAATAAAGTGAGAGATATTTCGCGATGAATTGTATTTGTGTATTGGTTATACAGTTGCATTTTAAATACGTTACAGTTTCATATTAAAGATTTATTTCGACTTTTTTTTTTTGTTTCATAATGTAAGGAAATTGGTACGTATTTTAAATGACGGTGAGGACAAATTAGCGAATTTTAAAAATTTATTTTATTATTTATTACAAAAGAAAAAGCCATTATTGCTACTTGATATTTCGTAAGTTCGCTGTAAGTAATAATTTTATTATGAAATTATATATTACTTTGATTTTTTTAAAGTTTATTTTATTTTTTCCACTGTATATTTTTCCTATCTAGTCGTGTGGGGGTGAAAATTAAACGGTAACTCCGCTGGCGATATTTTTTTTTATACATCTTTAAATGGCAAACAAGCTGACGGCCCACCTGTTGGAAAGTGGTAACCGTCGCCTATAGACATGAGCAGTACCATGGACATAGCAGAGTATACTGTTCACCCTTAATACCCCCCATGCGTTGCCATTCCTGAGGACTCAGGTGTTATTCCTCTGTACCCAGTAAATTCACGCCATATCTCACCCTTCAAACCGAAACACAGCCATGCAAACACAACTGCTTCACGGTAGAAACACGAATGGGACAGAGGTATCCAAGCAATCGTCTTGTACAAAGTCTCCCTCTGGTGAAAACGGTAAAACTACTAACGGTATATACTGGCGGGGCACCAGTGAGACATGACTGGTGAGGATGAAAAGGCAGGTCAGTTAGTCCATCGTGACGAATTCAACTATAAATTAATCATGATAGTTTCCAGGGGGAACCGCGTGGAGATCGACCTGATAGGGTATATTGATAACGAGGACTAACCTGCCCATTACTAACAATCCCTTCCTCCTATCTAGCCGTGTAGTCCCGGCATAGAATAAGCCACTTATTCCTTTCCTGTGTGTCGTAAGAGGCGACTAAGGGAGCATATGTGGTGGAGGGATCGGCAACAGCACCATCCCTCATAAAACGTCACTAAAAGCCAAACTGCGGTTGCCAACCCGTCTGCCAAGCGTGACAACTACTGACAAAACCCCCATATGGGGGACGCTATGTTTAGCATTGGACAGTTAACTGTTGAAACAACATATTCTATATTAAGAAGACGAAGGTATCGTACTTAAGTTTGATTTTGGATTTGGATCATTTACAATTTCTTTTATACGTATTAGAATGGCAAACAAGCTGACGGCCCACCTGATGGAAAGTGGTAACCGTCGCCTACAGACATGAGCAGTACCACGGACATAACAGAGTATACTGTTTCGACCGTGATACTCATGCGTTGCCATTCCTGAGGGCTAATTGTCTTTGCAAGTCGACTTTATTTATTATTAATTTACAATGTAGTTTTATATCTAGTTATCAGTATGCTAGAATGTTGGCTGTGTTTTGCACATACTTGCTCGCCTTTCACATAAATAATCCCAATTCCCCATCGTAGCTCCACTCCCGGTTTAAATTATTACCACCGCCAGTTCGTCCTAAACGCTCCTGTCAAGTTCAGTCCAGGATGAGCTTCCTTTGTGTAGAACACATTTTATGGGAAACTTTTTCACGTATCGAGCTGTTCAGTTATGTAACAAACTCCCTTCCCACATACAAGAGTCCTTCTATTACCTCTTTCAAGAAAAGGTGGAAATTGCATTTTCTTTCCCTTGGGTAATAATCTTAAATTTCCATTTTTCTAATTGAACAGTCAAATCTTAAACTATATATATATATATATTGTGTACACGTTAAGTACGGCAGAGAGGGGGAAGGGATTGTTAGTAATTTGGACTACCACCCATTGCTAGTAATATGCACAGACAGGCAGACCTTCACGTGGTTTCCTGGGGGCACCCCAGGAAACCATCGTGCTGAATTCCAGGTGTATTCATCACGATGAGCTAACTGACTGGCCTTTTCATTCTCACTTATCATCCTTCACTGGTTCTCCGCCAGCGTATACTCGTACCGTTAGCGCAGACGGGGCTACCATTCCATTATCACCTATAAAAAAAAGAAAGTACCGAACAGAGAACAGACTTTATTTTGTAGACGAAAGTGGCACAGTAACTCCGCCTGTGCTATCGATATATGCTGGCAAGGTTTATCAATCAATCATGATAAGTAAGCATGAAAGCATGTTATTTGGTCTATTGTGATAAAGTCATCAGGAATTAATTACAGTGGTTTCTTGGAAGAATCACATGGAGGTTGACCTGCTGGCAACGGGAATGCTAGCCTCCTTTACTACCAATTCTTTTCCCTTTGATACCCTTATTTACCTCTTACGACATTCTGTAGGAGCATAAAGTAAAGATGAATGCATAGATTATACATGCACCAATCTCTGTTCCGCCATCTGTGGCATCGGAAAAGAATAAAAATATAAAAAAGAATATAATAAATAAGTACAATAATTGAATTAATTAAATCTAATTGCCATCACCAATATTTAATCCATTACATAATAATATAACTAAGATATAATACACATTATTCATAGACAATTTAATTTTTATTTCTACGATTATAATATTTATTTAAGAAAATGAAACTAAATTCTAGATTATTAATAATTGTAATTACAAAAAAAATTTCATGATTTTATATTATTATTATTTTATTCCGTTCATAGCTTGCAGAAGGGCTTTTGGGTCTATCCCTGGACCTATCTTTTGAGCAATGTCTAGATTTACCACTGGACACCTCTCTAGATCTCCCTCTGGACCTGTCTCTAGAACTTCCTCTGGATCTTCCTCTAGACCTACCTCTAGAACGATCTCTGGATCTTCCTCTAGACCTGTCCCGAGATCTCCCTCTGGACCTGTCTCTAGATCTTCCTCTGGATTTACCTCTGGACCTTCCTCTAGACCTACCTCTGGAACGATCTCTGGATCTTCCTCTGGACCTGCTTCTGGATCTCCCTCTGGACTTGACTCGAGTGCTACCTAGTTCACAATCTCTGGACTTGCATCGAGTTCTCCTAGTAACACCTCCGTCTTCGCTTCTAGAACGGCTTCTGGAACGAGAACGATCCCTACTTTCACAACACTGCTCTCTTGATTCAATTGCATTTCCAGGTTCAGAATCAGCTTCTGTAATATGAATCTCACCTTTCTCAATCAAAGATTCGATATCGCCAATCTTAGAGACAAGCAACGCCTCCATTGCTATATCTGCACGACTAAAAATATTCGACCGATGACCTGAAACACAAAATTACACTGAAATTTTTAAATTTTAGATTCCTCTTGATACAAACGACGACTAGTGTTCCCGATACCGCCGGCTCGAATGATAAACATTTGCCAGAACTAGCGTTTATATCAGAATATATATTGCGCAATAATTTCACATATTGGGCAATAATAAGTAATTCGGATACTTTTATCGGGTTCCCATTTTCACAGATATGGTAAATATTGTGTAATAGTAATGCAATTTTTTTTGATGGGTGAAAATGGTATGATGGCCTGCGCTAACGGGATACGCTGGCGGAGCACCAGTGAAGAGTGATAGATGAGAATGAAAACAGGCCAGTTAGCCCATCATGATGAATTCATCAGGAATTAACCATGACAGTTTCCAGGGAAAACCGCGAGGAGGTCGACCTGGTTGGGTATATTGCTAGCGATGGGATTCTCAGTCTCCATTACTAACAATCCCTTTCCCCCTAATAGTAATACCTTAATATTTTAAAGTTGATTAGAAAAAAGTTTTTTACTAACAGATCTACATATGTATTTTTCACGACAATGCACAAGACCGACTACGATTTTAAAGAGGCACCGTAAAATCGTAGTCGGTCTTGTATGTAAGTATGTAAAGTCCTTTTAATATTGTGAATGCTAAAGTTTGTAAGGATGATTAGGTGGATGTATAGATGGATGGATGGGTGGAGGTACGGATGAATTATTATTTGTTAATATTTCACGTAAAAACTACTAAAAACTTCTTTGCTTATTACTTATGGCGCTTTAACGGCTGAATCTGTTATGAGCCGAGGCTGGATGGAAGTGGGCATACTTAGCTATGTCGGTTTGATTCTTGTCGTATATCCTCGTTTTGGATTCTATCATGATCAATGAGGTTATTAAACCTTCTTATTAACGAACCTTTCCGCTCCGATGTAATATAAATGTAGGTACCAAAATAATCTTCCGATATTACTTTATTTGTTACTTATTCTCAGCCTGCAAAATATTACAATAAATTTATTAAGTGTTTTTTGGCAGCACGCTCTTGCCTCGAATATGCACGATTTCGCCATTATTAGGCTAATTTTGTTTTTAAGTAAATAAATGCAAATACGTGATATCGTAGTGAGACAGACTAATATAAAATACTATATTTACAATAGATACGTTCATTGGCTGAATAGTTGTTTTAAAACTTTGGACAGATGTGTCTCGACCTACTTTGAATATTATTTAAAAATTTATTTATTCTTTATTGCACAATAAGCTGTCCATTAAGTAAAACCAGAGAGCGTATATTATAGTAAGTGCAAATTTATGATATAAATATTCATTTTTAATATAATATTATATTAAATCTTTTAATGTGTCCAATGTAAATTATTTTATAATAAAATACAATTCATTTCGCGAAATACATATAACTGGACTACAAATTTTAAAATTTAAAATAAATAAAAATAACAAAATTATAAGAAATTATAACAAACGAAGCAAAACTCGAAACTTAAATTGTGTGAAAAAAAGTTATAGAATTATATTTTTTATCATTAGTTTGACGATTAACGTCATTGAAAGGATAAGTTTACTAGAGGGAGACTTTGTACAAAAGTCGATTGCTTGGGTACCTCTGTCTCATTCGTGTTTCTACCGTGAAGCAGTTGTGTTTGCATGGCTGTTTCGGTTTGAAGGGTGGGATATGGCGTGAATTTACTTGATACAGAGGAATAACACCTAAGTCCTTAAGAATGGCAACGCATCGGAGGTATTATGGGCGAAACAGTATATTCTGTTTTTTTTTTAAATGGATGATAATAGAATGGTAACCCCACCCGCGCTATCGGTATACACCGGCGGGGCACCAGTGAAGGATGATAGGTGAAGATGAAGCAGGTCAGTTAGCCCATCGTGACGAATTTGATAAGGTCGCCCATTGTTTTCTCATTGTGATTATTTCTTGTAATTGTTTATATTCATAATAAGTTTACTATTGTAATCTTTTGGAGGAAACAATAGAGAGTAATCTAAAAATCTAAATCTATCTATCTATCAAAGTAACTAAAACC